TTTTGCTACTTGGTGGGGATGATTTTTCAGGAAAATGCAGCCTCATGGGGACCGGATGCTCCTCGTGGGGACCAAAGGCCGGTCCCCACGACTTCGGAGGCTGATTTTGGGTGGAGGTTTAGGATCAAGGTGTGAATTGAGTTTAGGTTAGTTTTAGAGTAAATGGTCAGGGTTAGGATGTAAAATTAAAAAAAAAAATTAATAGAAGTCAATGGAAAGTCCCCACAAGGATAGAGAGACATAGTATGTGTGTGTGTGGCACTATATTAATAATCTGAATCAAATTGAATTGTATCAAAACACCTGTTTATGTGTATCTCTGCACAGATTTGCRTACGGTTGGTTGAGGAAAATCTAAAAGAACGAACCTGAAAACTTTTGCCCTTTTTCTCCCTCTTGTCTCTCGAGTCTCGACTGGAAAGGCAGTTGACAAAACATCACTTCAAAAATAAGCCGATTATTCCTTTATTGACATATGTTCTATTTTTATGGATGRAATGTTTCTTCTGTATCTGTTTGGTGTTTTCATTTATTGTCTGTTCGTTATTGATGTTTGTTCTTTCAAAGGACTGTTGATGAAAATGAGCTTTAATTACAACTGAGATAATGAACTCTTTTTAAAAAATCACGTTGAGTCATTTTTATTCAGACAGGCTTTAAGTTTTGTTTACTTTTTAAAATTGTTCTTCATTATATGTGTGACCTGTTTTTATTGTTTTTAGTTATTTTGCTCTCCGATAAGCACTTTGTGATGTTCGTATCTGTGAAAGGTGCCATACAAATAAAGTTTACTTGCTTACTTTCTAACTGAAATGCATATAACTTGTTCAAGATTTGATTAATTAAAAAAAAATAAACAAATAAATAAATAGAAAAAAATTAGAAGTTAAAAAAAGTTGAAATTTCAGTTACACTGGTGGCACATGTTGCATGTTGTCTGAAGTGTTTTTTTAATGAAAATGTTTTATGTCAGGTTATTGTTAAACCACTGAAATGTCTAGAGCCAGTCTGGGAGCTTTCATAAGGCGGTCATGGTTTGAACGCAGTCTGAAAAGTCTCGCTTTCAGAAATAAAAGACTGTCCTGAGACTTTTGACTCGCCCTGTTTATCRCATCCGGTGAGCCTGCAGGAAACTTTGAAACATTCAGGAGAGATTTCCACAACAAAAACTGTTCACTTCTTTCCAAAATAAATATGAAAGAGAAGAGTTAAAGGATAAACTTTATTAGAATGTTTGCAGCAGCAGCAGCAGTGAGCATGACGCACGGGTGGACCAGACAGATATTGAAGATATCAAACAGGTTTAAGTCAGCAAGTCTTCAATGTCTGACTGAAAAAGTTCAACCACAGTTTATCACTGACAGAATCAAACGTCATCTAAAGTGGTCTGTAGAAGTGAAACTCTCAGGAAATCTGAGACAAAAAATGGTAAACAATTAAATAAAAAGACAAAAAGAGAAAGAAATGCAATGTTTTCCTGTATGGGATTTCATTTTTCATATTATTTTCTTGTTAAGCTTTACTTTACTTTATTTCCTTCAAGACTGAAAAAAGAAAAAAATACAGTTTAACTATATTACGTTATTACAAAAATAAAATGAACAACTTAACAAGCATATAAGTGGCATTAAAATGTTTATTTATGTACAAACAAAAAACGTTTGGTCAGAAAAGTATTTAAAAGGATAAAATCACAATGTAACTGACACATTTTATTTCATACAACTCTTTATTAAAGAGTAAAAACAGTTTCAGTTAGGTAAAAAGTCACTCATAACAAACACCAACCATAAGGAGAACTGTTTGATTTAGTTACAGCTTACATTTGATAAATATACAGATAAATATTAAAAGACATCTGCTGATCATTTAGTTTGTTTTTATATTTTACACACTGAAAGCTTGTAATAGATAAAACACTCTTTATTTATCAACTGTTGTGAGTGTGAGCGAATGGTTTTAAACATCCTGTGAAATCAAATCTATTGTTCGGATGCTTTTATTTTGAAGGCCCACGAATCACCTTTGTGCAATTACCTAATTCAAAGCAAAAAACAAATAATAAAAAAACTATAAAAATAAAAATAAAATAAAAAAGGCTGAGCATTCCTCAAAGGAATGCTTATTGCTTGTACTTAATGTCTGAGTTTCAAACTAAGATAGTCTTATGTTGAAGCTAAAGTTAAAATATTAAAAAAGATCATTATGTGAGATTGCACCTAAAACTGCAAAATCTCACTCAGTCAGTTATCACTCAGGATATGTATTGAGGATGACTCTCAGCTACTACCACACCATGTTGTTGCTCAATATCCGTAGAAATGGCTGAGTTAGATGCATTAATAGGTTTGCTAAGGTTGATTAGCTCCAGCGGCCATCTTGTATCAGGTTAACTCGAAAAGTTAATCGGTTGTAGATTTGTAGCCAATAATCACTTCCTGAAAGCTTTAATACAACCCACTGGGTGGTTCCTGAGATATTCTGCTAACAGACAGACTAACAAACATGCATTATCGCAAAACATTTGAGGCAGCAGGTGATATTAATACTTCTTTTAAAAATATTTCTATGTTGTTTTTTAATTTTATTTATTTAAAAGATTTCAATTATTTTTTTGTTACAAAATTTTGTTAAAAAGAAAAAAAAAAGTCAAGCAAAAATTATGTGGACTTGCAGTTTGCCCGAACATTCATGTACACCTTGTTAGCTGTAGAGAGGAAAAAAAAATTAGAAAAAATTCTTTACTTTTAAATACAAGCACAAACATTAGAACTAAGAGTTTCAAATATTAGTCAGGTTTATAAAAACAAAAAGGAAAAAAAAAAAAACTCCAAAGCAAACTGCCTCACCATTATCTATCTTCCGCCTCCTGAAGCTGGCACACCTGTAAGTCACTGCCACAATAATGAGGGTCAGAACCAAATCTGCTGAGACGATGATGGCGATGGTCCACGGCTCAATCCTGTAGCAGGACGCAGAGTCTGACAGACACCAGAAAAAAAGAACACAGAATATTTGAGTGGGTTGAAAGTGACAAAAGCAAGAGACGAGCGGAAAAACTGATGATCAGTCATGAAGTTGCTTGTTTTCCTAAAATATTTGTGTCTTTTTTTGTCTTTTTAGAGTTACCTGTTAGTGCCTCAGGCAGGTCTGGAAGAAAAGAACAAAAAAAAAGAAAGAAAATAAAAAGATGAATAACTGTAGGTGGACTGAATAAATTCAGCAGTTGCTGTTGCGAGAACGGTGAATTTCCGTCATAAAGAGTGTTTGTGGTTCGCCTTCCTGTGTGAGCGCGCTTTAMTGTCGAGCTGTGAAAGTTTTACTTACTGCAGAGAAAAAACAGCACCAGGACCAGGAGTTTGGCAGAAGCCATCGTGGGTCAGAGGAAGTTCTGTTGGCTCTGAGAAACCAAACCCTAACAAACAAACAAAATTAATAAATTAAAAAAACATAACCCCCCGGTGTCCAGTTTTCAGAACAGAAGCAGGTTTTCAGCAGTCTGAGTTAAAAAGAAATGATCCAAACTGTGTAGGTTTGACTTTTTCCATCTGCATCACTGAACCGTCAAACAGTCACTTCTGCGTGGGCATTTATTATAAAGAAAAGTGAGCTGTAAGTACATGTGAGCAGAAAATTTAATATTTTAAATGTAAAATTAAAAAAACTACCATGTTTTTATACATGGATACAAGCTTTTTTTTTTTTTTTTACTAAATGTTAGGTCATGAATTTACAAGTTTAAAAACTGACGTTCAAACTAAATATACATATCTTCTCTGAGTCAGTGTTAATTTCATCAAAATCTAATGCAAAACAAGAATTTTAAAAATGAAAACGATGAAAGAGAAACTCATACATACCCGCTCTGCTTGGGTCTGCGTGTCTTCTGTGGTCCTACAAACCATGTCAGGTCGATATCCCCCCTTTGAGGGGAGGTGTTCGACTTCCTCTGCTTTGTTGCTGCACGTAAACACTGCGGGTCGTCTGTGTCATCATGACTGAATGATGGAAGCTGCTTTGAACTCCACTTTTTATTCAGGTGGAGAGGTGGAGCATCACTGCAACTTAACCCTTTTTTTTACTCTTTGCTAAAGGTGAAAATAACAACGAAGTCTGGGATTTTTTTCTTGAGGCTATAAGTTTCAGATTTTTAAAAGTGGTTCCAGGCCAGCTCAGACCAGAGATTGTGAGGCAAGAGCTTTCAGTTCTTATGGAACCAACTTCTAGTTTCTGTTCACGAGGCCGACTCTGCTGAATTGTGACGAGTGGTCAGGGTGGGTTTGTGTGTCCTGAGTTATCCTTTAGTTCTGCTGCTATATGTTCAAACTGTTGGAGAACAAACTGACCACGTCTCCTCACTCTGCTGCTGTCTTTACTCACTCCACTCTCGTGGTGTTTGTAATTGTTTCCTGATGCATCTCAATAATCCAGGTGGAAAAATCGAATAAAGTTGGTCCTCCGGACGAGTTCTTCTTCATTTAAACGTTTCCATTTTTGTCCAGACTTCTTCAGTCTGACGCGCTACAGATAAACTCTGCCTTTACCTTCACGTGGTGGATCAACAAGTTTGCTGATGACAAAAATAATGAATATTCTCAAAAGAGGACCATCAGCCTAACTACTGATCGTTAGTGCCCTGATAGCCTCTTGTTAGAGGGCTGAGGGTCTCTGCCTGCTCCATCTGAACTGCCAAAATCAGCTCATATTGTTGCAGCTGAATAATGAAAATCGCACCGTATCTGCTGCCCCTTTTTGTCATGATGCTCCAAACTTTTTACCCCCTCCACATAAGAACTTACTGTGTGATTGATCAGAAGTTAGTTTTTGCTGAAAGCACTAGGATGCTGCCCTTTGCTTCAACTCCTTTCAAAAAAAAAAATATACTGGCTTCCAGAAGCCGACTGTTGTACCCGGAAGCTGACATTTATACAGTAGATAGTCAAACGGCCAAAAACTCATGGATGAAGAATAAAAGACATTTTACATGAATCCATCTGCAGAGAAGTGTGGATCTTTAACTAGGACAGACAGATTTATGTACAAATAACGGTGAATCTCAGTTTTTTTCGAAGGATACTCCAGCGGGAAGGAACCCCTTGCAGYTGTATACTGCAGTGGGAGGGGTTTCCCAGGAGCTCAGCACAGTGTGTCTCAGGGTCTATGAAAGGTGTGTGCAAAACCAAACATCAAACAGCCATGTGACCACGCGTCTACTGTTCAGATGGTGTATGTGGAGACCTTTAGTCATACTCGCTGTAACAGCATTGTAAGAGGAAGACAAGTGGACATGGAGACCTCCTCCGTGTTTAATGACGGACAGTTTCTCTTCACAAAAATGGCTTCCTTCACTCCTCTTTCTAACCAGTGTTCCTCTCTATCAAGGATGAGAGCATCTTCATCCCTGAAAGAGTGACTGCTGGCCTGTAGATGAGTGTAAACTGCAGAGTCCTGACCTGTAGATGAGTGTAAACTGTAGAGTCCTGGCCTGTAGATGAGTGTAAACTGTAGAGT